TTTGCAATTAGTAGTGTTCTCTGAGCTGGTTGGTTTTGTTGCGTAACTTTCATCGTCCTTCCTGACAACATCTTCAGTGCAATATTTAGGATAAAGTGAAATGATTTAAATTTTTCATGAGTGATAGAATTCCGTCTCCCGATGACCATCTTTATATATGTAATGTTCATTTTCTACTGAATTGGACTTTAAACTTTCTCGTCACATGGTTTACTTTTTATTTGTTGGTGTATTTGGTCTATATTAACGTGTTTGTTAACTGCATGTTCGTTTGAGTACCAGGCTTCTAGGAATTTCCAGAGGAAACATGGAAAGTGACAGGGAATTCCTAGAAGCCTGGTACTCAAACGAACATGCAATTAACAAACACGTTAATATAGACCAAATATACCAACGAATAAAAAGTAAATCATGTGACGAGAAAGTTTAAAGTCCAAATCAGTAGAAAATGATCATTACATGTGTAAAGATGGTTACCGGGAGACGCAATTCTATCACCCATGTGCGTCGGTGGCACAGTGGTTAGGACTCTCGCCTACCATGCACACGGTCCGGGGTTCGAGCCCGCACCGACGCACACCTGATATCTATGGTCGGCCTGCGAAATTTGGGCTACCGATGTCCATGCTGAAAATTCCATACGTGTACCGAAAATAGTGTGGAATCAAGCTGTAAATCAAAAAAAAAATCTAAATCATTTCACATTATCCTAAATATTGCGTTGAGGATGTTGTCCAGAACTGATTTATGTATCTGCATGGAAGACTGTATTTTTAGCTTTCGCTTTACGTTGTAATTCGAGACGATGTAGACAGGCAAGAAGTTTGTGTGAGTCAGTTGATGAGTGGGTTATGGCATAGATGTGCCATATTCGTATCAATGATACTAAGCGATGCTCGTCAAATCAGTAGTACCGTATTCTTCTTTCAAAGAAGTTAGTTGACGGGGATAATATTGCATTATATTGTTACTTTGTTCAGAGTGAAGATTTCTAGATAGAGAGGCGGATTTATTCAATAACACATGAGGTAGCTATGCATGAATGAGGCTGGCCACACTTCATTCAAACTGTTGACTACTTCTGTTTGAGCAGTGGTGAGTGCCTGACTGAGTGGCAGGAAGGCAGGCAGGCAGGAAGGTAGGTAGGCTGGCTCTCTGAATCAATGAATGATTGAAGGAATGAATGAATGAATCAATCCCTGAATGAATGATCGTTTGAGTTTCAGGATAGAAGTTTGGAGATGAGTGTATCAGTTCAAGTTGACACATTGCATGTATCACACAAAGGTAGAGAGTAGAGAGAAGGAAGAAATTCAAGGGAACTCTAATGAGCAGAAATGTAGGCGAGAGGGAATAGTACTATGGGGGAAGACACGAGGGTTCAGTGTAAATGGGAGATGACAAAGCGTGAATGCATCTGAGTCATGGAGAAGGATTTTCAGCCATAGCACCAATAGTCTCCAGACATTGGTACTTATCATCCCGAGGTCCCCAACCAGTCAGTCTATACCTGGCTACGTGACTGGAACACCAAGAGTGAAAGACTGCATGGATTGATTCCAGATTTTGGTTTGACCACCGAGAACTCCTTTCCAACCTAATCCTGTGTCAGGTGACATTTCTCGTGGAGGAAGGCAGGCGGTGAGGTGGCTCGTCATGCGCAACACGTGTCCTAGCCATCTCAATCGATGCAGCTTGACTGACAACTTCATCTCTCATCGACTTGCCTTCCTCGCCTAGCACTGACTCTACGCCTAAGCTCAATATCTGTCACCATATTATACCACTCTTAACTAACACGAGAGATAGAAGGCAAACCTCTGTGCTCAAAGACAGCTAGCCTCTTCATCATATCTGTGGCTGTCAATGGCCATGTCTGATAGTCAGTCATAAAGAAGGAGAGAACCAACTGCTTTGTAGTGAAGTCGTCTTTTCACCGACAACCGGATATCACGTGTACACCAGAGATGATGTACGTTGTCGAATGCCACACCAGCCTTTCGTATCCGTGTTGAGATTTTGTCAGTAGTCAGCCGCTTGGGACTGACGCAACTTTGCAAATAAGTGAACTGGTGAAAACTCTGTACCACTTCACTACGTATCTTCAAGCTAGTAGTCGGTGTATTCCAGTTCTGCAGCATCACCTTGCATTTGACAGCAGAAAATCACATGCTAAACATTCAAAGATCGCAGCCAAATGTGTTCCGAAGACTGTATTGTGATAGAGGGTTTTTTTCCTATGATGATTGACCGAAATGCCATGGGGCTCGCTATACAGTGGAAAACGGAAACATTAAACTGGCTAAAAATCTATATAATTACTGTAAGTTTAAGACAGAAATAGAAAGTAAAGGCGGTGATAACAGCAGAGCTAAGCAACTGAAGTGTAATTTGAAACAGAAAGATTTGTGGTAAGTAATGGATTAAAAGGAGTCCCTAGTTCATACCCAAAAGGGCCGAACAGAACGATTAGAAGAACACTTCAAATTGCTCACAACTGCTCGGGACAGTTTCGGAATCGGCTTGTTTGAGGAGCCTACCAAAGTAGAGTGCATACTCCATCTGATAACAAAATACTGATCGTGGAAAATACTCATCAAGATATTAGAGAAAAGAAAAAGCCCACCAAAGATATCTCTTCGGCGACTTCATCCTCAAATGCCGTACAATCGCACTTTTCTACATAAGTTTACATAGTTATAATTCTTACTAGTTGCTCAATACTTTTTTTATTTACAGCTTGATTCCACACTGTATTTTCGGTACAAGTATGGAACTTTCAGCACATGATATCGGTAGCCCAAATTTAGAAGGTCAAACAATTGATATCAGGTGTGCGTCGGCTGGGTAACGAACCCAGGACCGTAAGCATGGTTGAAGAGCGTTGTAACCGCTGTACCACCGACGCACAGAATGATTATCACCTTTAAACTCTCTTCGTTCATATGTTGGATTAAATAATAGTTGTAACTATGTAAATTTGTGTATGAAAATGGAATTGTACAGCTTTTGGGGATGAAATCGCCGAAAAGATATCTTTGATGAGCTTCTTTTTCGTTCCGTTATGGGTAAGACTTTATTTTGATAAATCACACAGTGCTGCATAGTAATATTAACTGATGACGTTTCGAGTACAAATTATTGCTCATAATCATATCAGGTCACTCACACAAATTTTGCTTCATTTATTGTTTTTTTCTCTCTGCAAAATAATGACCAAAGTCCCACGGTGAACGGGTGTTGTAAACAAAAGTTCGTTGGGAAAGAAACAGCATGTGAAACTGCTAAATGGGCATTTGGAGTGAACCATTTCTTTCGACCATTCCCACGGTAAGCAAAAACTAGACAGTGTAGAGGCTCCAAAAGTGATACATATCCAAGTCACTAAACCCGGTAAGCTCAGACGACGATGTCTGTCTGGATTCAACATAGAACTTGTCACCGAAGTGCAGCAGTTCGAGTTGCCACGTTCCAAATAGCACACAGAGGTAGACAAGAAGATGAGTGAAGAGAATTAATAGAGTTTGACAAATATAAGAGTGAAACAGAATGGGTAATGGTAGAAAGGAATATGAAAGATTACAGAGATTGAATACATCTGCGCCATTGACAACGATTTTGAGCCATGTCACCTATTGTCTCCAGCCATTGATTCCTAGAGTCGCGAGGGCCCCAACCCGGGAGTCTGCATCTCCCTACCTGACTCAGTTTAACTGTCAAGGATTTCATGGATTGATGCCATGTTTTTGTTTGGCCACCACTGGCTCTTTTCCAACCTGAACCTATATCAGCTAACAATGCCCGTCGGGGGAGGCGGTGGTTAGGCATGCGCACCACGTGACCTAGCCATCTTAGTCTATGTAACTTTATAACCTCAGACGACGATAGAGTCAGATATATCAGAACAGACCACAGGAACTAAACAGACAGTCATTATCAAACATGGAGAGCAACAACAGACCATCTGCTAGAAAAGGCCAGCAAACAAAGCGTTATAAACTCAACCACTGAAGACCAGAACAAGAATGAAATAACAGTAACACAAATTGGGCTATGTTCCATAGGCTGCTGATAATTACAAATATTATCAGACTTCACTTACCCATACACAAATTTCTCCATCACTTTTAAAGGTTCACTCTCGAGATCCAACGCAGAAAAAAACCTCAGTAAAATCCTGGATAACTACTTCTCAGTTTACAGATTCAAAGCACGTAACAGTCTGATTAAGCACCAATATTGACTAGGAACAGTGATAAGAACTAGTCGTACACCCCCACGAAAACCAACATATTTGTTTAGGTCTACCGACATACTGAAATTTTAAAGGTATTCACCCCTAAAAGGTGATTCTAAACGAACTGCTGATCTTCAATATACAAAAGTGTGCTCACACCTCACAAAAGAGTGATATAGAGAACTTCTAGGAAACCAGGAGCGTATAAAGTGATGATATAATAAGTCTGGTTTACCATTAAAAGCCGAGTACTCTAAAGAATTCCAGTACTTCGAGTAGCTCCTAAGCAACCACTTTATTACTTAGATAGGTGTTAGCATTGCATCTGGTCCGTGTCTCTCTGAATCTTCACTATCTCGTTACTCCAACCTGTGCGTCGGTGGCGCAGTGGTTAGGACTCTCGACGACCATGCACATGGTCCGGGGTTCGAGCTCACGCCGACGCCTAGCTGATATCTATGGTCGGCCTGAGAAACTCGGGCTACCGATATCCACGCTGAAAATTTCATACTCGTAACAAAAATACAGTGTCGAATCAAGCTGTAATCAAAAATAATAAATAAATAAAATTTATTTTCCTTTTATTGCTTTTGTCTACTGTTATTATCGATTTTAGTTTACTTAAGTACATGTTCCTAGAAATGAAATGAAATATGTCTCCTTGGATAAGTTTACGAACCATAATGTTATTTCTCGATCACTTGATATTACTACACGTCTCATATACTCACCCAACACGGAAGATTATTCAGAAAACTGAATATAAACAAGAAACTTTATTTTCTCAGTGTGTATGAAATCATATATTACTGTCATATGATGGTGATGCCAGAAGAAATAGAAATCACCGGATGATCTATTGAGCTACGCCTATAACACCGCATGCTACGCGACCGCCTGCATTACCTGTAACCTTGCTAAGTTCATGTCCCCCACGACCCAAATCGTCCTCGTTCTCGTGAACCTGTAACAAAAACGACATGATCTTATGTGAATATTTCTAAATTGTAAAATGTGATTCGACTCGTAAAACTATTATTGATAAACTTAGTGATTCAACCATGCCATAAATCAATAATCATCAAGATATTTACACACGACTGTATTAATTATACCAGAATTAGTAATTGTATTCACCAAACTTTGGTATGTGAAGGAGAGAAAACACAACTCAGTGGTCAGCAATTAAAATTATAAAGAAATAGGGTGGAGAATGTATTCTAACAGACAAATGTAACCACCACATACCGCCTAGGACTGGAATATACATAGTAACTAGTTTACCGTGTCTATTCCTTTGTTTGGTGCAGACTGAATTCTACCAGTCAAGTATGCAATGAGAGCACCATCCTCGGTGCCTCGACGTGACGCTGCACTTTGGAATGTTGGTTTTAGATGGTGGGAGGCAATCGGCAGGAAGCCTTGGGCCTAGTTGTAGTTGGAGACGTCACTAATGGGCTATTTGGGTTCTGAAGGCAGCAGTGGGTGACGCAGGTTTGAATGTCAGAAGGCACATCAGTCCCTTTGAGGACGCACGCCCTGCTGAATAGTGCCAACTAGCACGAAACCTAGGTCCAAGGCATCCTGGTGATCGCCTCCAACCACCTAATAATGTTGACTGGTCTACAGAAGGGTAGGAAGATGTGAATTTTTAGCATTAGCATGACATCTGGATATCCAACAAAAAACATGTGACGCAGTATTTCGCCCCGTTTTACTTTACAGTTGACACATGGTCACTGGAAGTTGAAGATATAAAAAAGAATGGTGGTTTTTGATCGTGTAGAACATGATCAGCAATAATGAGGTTAAGCACGCCTTTGGGAAGTGGCAACTGGGACTGCTGAAGTTTTGTTAAGTTCTACGTCAATAAAGAGCTAACACGCAGTTCCTCAGACGCTCACAGCATACATTTATTTCATCAGCATGAATAACATTTCTGAGTAACTACAGAAAAACTGCTTGTGTACTTCAATCATAGTCTAAATCAGAAGATATGATCAATGGATTTATGTACGTATATAGATGTGCATATAGAATCTACAGTAAACCAATCCTAAGTACTTAAACGGTCTCTCCACTTTTGACTTTGTTTCCTTCAACTTTTATCACTGATACAGTCCTTTCTTAGATTACGAACTTCTATCATCTGAGGTGTTGATAAATAAAGTTCAAATTCAACTTATATACGTTGTATACTTAACATGTAAATCTGATTGTGAAAAAACAAAAATTGTACAACAATAAAATCAAGCAGTTCAAAACATAAAGTTAGAATGTTAGTGTAGAGTTGGTACACAATCGAACTTTAATACTTACAACCATAGTCCTCCCAATAATGGAATGCGCACCGTTAAGAGAAAGTAATTTATCAGTTGCATCATACACTGCATTTCCATTATTGTCAGCGGTAACATTCCCCAGATCACCAACATGGCGTATAGCATCTCCTGGAGCTCCATGTTCTTGATTAGTTGGGTTAAAGTGAGCTCCAGCTGATGTGCATCCGTTTGTTGTATCACCAAACTCGTGAACATGAAATCCATGCTTTCCAGGCTTCAATCCACTGAACTCAGCGTGAATACTTACGGGAGCGTCAGGTGTCTAAAAACACAATAAAATTACTGCTTGTTAGAATTCTGGCGAAATAGACATTCACCGAAAATGCTAGAGAATACAATGGGCGACTTGGGCAAGCAGTCTTGGACCCCGGTTTCGTGCTAGTTGGCACTCGTCAGCAAGGTGTATCTGCAACCCTGAAGGAACTCATATCCCTTCTGAGATTCGAACTTGTGTCACCCAGTGTTGCAGTCAGACACATTACCACTGAGCTGTTCGGGTTTTCGGCTGACCTCCTGTAGGACTGTATTGGATACTTTGATTGGACATCAGTTACGAGTGTCCAATCAAAGATGGTTCTCATCCCAGGCTTCGACCTATTGTTCCCTAGGTAACGATCCACTCGAACAACTAGTAACCTGGGTAGAATTTATTCCACAATTTTCCTTTCTCACTCAGGTTACGAACAATTATTATAACGAAAAACAAATGAGCATATGCCCATGGAAATATTTCCATGTGTCCATATTTCTTAAAACGTTGCGTCATCAGATTTCGCATCGAAAGTACGGTGGCTTTCTACTTCATTATTACTTACATCCTGAGAAAACCTGACAACTCCTTTCACACCAGCTGTACCGGTCATGACACAAACTGCCTTCATGCTTGCAATCAGAGTAGCGGTCAGTTTCCAGTTGGCGCGAGTTGGACAAAACTTCTTGTTAAGCATACTAGTGGTGATTGGTACAAAGGTATTACTTTCACAGTTTTAAAGCCTTTAGAAACAAAACATGTTCGTTTTCCTTCCTTAATCATTGGTCTTGAAGAATATAAAATTAAAGTCCAATTTTTCAGAATGTTTTTAGTGGGAAAGTTATCACGAAAATTGCAATCGGCTCCGACATTGGTATATGGTTCTCCAAGCGCTATCAGTAGTCCAACTCACCCGAAAATGTGTTTGCACTGAGCAGGTCTTTCTTTATTTCAAGAAAGTTTTCGCAAAAACTATTCGTGTCTAGTCAAAGGGTTTTCAAATTTTACACACTATTTTACTAGCTTTCTGATCACTTCTTGACCCATGATGTGATATGTCACTGCTTGTAGAATAGTTCCACGCATCCAGATTATCTACTCCTGACTAAAAAGCAGTGCTGTTTGCTACGAGCGGTTTTCAACTACTCCTATCGGACAGCAGAATATACCATCATGTAATTTCTGTTTCTCTTCTCGACCGCTGCCGATTGCATCAGGTAGAATACAAACTGTGATGGGTCCAAACCACGAATAATAATACTTGGAAGTGACGAAAGCGATCCAGTTCTTGATGCATGTGGAAAATTGTATGGTCAGACAGTAGCCCACAGTCGATGCCGTCAGGCCAAAAAAAGACTATAATAGTAATTAGTATTTTCATATAAACATATTAATTTACATGAGAATGCATGCCATTTTTACGGGCACGATCAAGTATGATATAATCTCAAATCGTAGATTGTCTACAAGTTAATAATATTTCAACTGTTAAATATTTGATATATATATATAAATACACTCATTGTCTGAACCAGGCCGTACGGTTATTGAATTGCACAGCTGTCCTCCAGGTTGAGCGGGAAAATCGACTTCGTTTCATTTTCAACGAAGGGGAATCAGTGTTGATAGTTGTAGGTCCAATAGCAGCCTCATAGTGGGAAATTCGTGGATGAACTTCTTTTATATCTATTTCAGCTAAACAGTCCGAAGCACCTGGTTTGTTAGAAATTCATTAGTTTCACGTTTAATACAGTTTCATCGAAGTAATCAGCTAATTACCGTTCAACATTAGTCACTATAAATTCCCAATGACTTCTCTACCTCTGGTGGCGTCCACTTCTGAAGTGCCGACTGTTGCAGTTATGACTTTCTCTAGCAATTTATATAACTTCAACACATGGTTGTAGGCATACGATAACCAACCAATATTGAGGTAAGTACAACGTTTACAAGGGATTGAAAGCTGTTTTGGAAAAGTAAAAGTGCTAAGGTGAATCATTGAAGTGCAATAAATTAAGTAAGTGCAATACATCATTAATAAATACATTTATATAGAAAACAGAATGGGGAAGTAATTAATCCCTAGACTGACAACGTTCATTTGCAATGTATAATAATACCAATATACTTCGTACTATCATGATGTCCACTTTTGGTTTTAACACATTTATCCTCATGCCGGTTGTTTTTATTTTATAGCATTTTGTGCATTTGGTGCACAACCGTACCCTACAGAGAATAGGAATAGAATAAGTCGAATCAAGTTCATAGAGCTATAAAATGTTACGTTTAATGGAATATAATGAGGATCAAGTAAAGACGTTATTAGAAAATATATGAAATGAGACATTGTGAAGTGGCATCTAAAGATCTGACAATGGATAGCAAGTTAATTTATAAGATGCCCCATAAATCTGTGCAGATCCCGCGTGATCGCATCCCAACAATAGGCTGAGCGAATGGTATATATTTACAGGTAGAAGCATGATCTGTCAAGGCGTTCATTATTATCTTTTCAAGATAAAGATCTAAGCCCTCATAAAAATCAGAGATATCTCCAGCCGTCAAATTGCATATTGCTGTTCCTGCAGAATGGGACCACCACCATATCTACTGATCAGCTAGCGCCACCCTCCCTCCTTTTATGATGTTAGGCTCTGAGACTATGATTATTATGGCTACAGCAAATATATTGCTTTGTACCAGACATGTTCGTACCTCATATGTATATATATAACTCAACTTGCTCATTAGTCGAAAAACAAACTCTTACTAGTGAATTCCGGATCGGTTCGTCCGAATAACACTCATTTATCTTCCCACGAGGTTTCAGTAATTGAAAGATGTCACTGCGACTCGACATACCTTAAGTAGTTAACAATTACGTCAGCTTTACCCTAACTGACTGAGGCTTTCATATTTTTAACGCCATCAAGAGTGACGTCCTTGTGAAATTTCCCCTTTAACAAGCCTCATTGTTTCATCATATGAGCGCGATTGCTGAAGAAGCGGTTCCACAATTTCTTTCTCTTCTACTGATAGTCGTCTACACCAAGGAGCATTCCGCATAAACACAGCGGTGCATGGATGATTATACACTATTTTGTGGGACTTAACCAGGTATTTACTACAATGCAAAACTACGTATAATGAAGAGAGACAGTTGCAACAACTAGACCTTAAATATACATAGTATCATAATATACTTCCTCTTACGACTTGTACCTCAGTTTCAGTCCCGCCTTTACACGGTTTATTCCAGAAGTACACGTACTTAAACTATCAACCGCTATTGTTTAGCTCCGGATATGCGCATAGGGAGTGTCGGATATCTACATTGTTGGCATTAAATGACTTCCACACTTTTGTAATTCTCCTAATGCATTCTCGAATTCCTCCCAGCTGAAGGAACACATTCTTAGCATTATATCAACAAAAATTTCATTTATGTCTGTGATGCCTTCACTCGCGTTGTTTACCTACAATGAACTTCTAAAAAGGCATCCTCAGTAAGTATCCATATATGCCACAGCTTTACAAATATAATTCCGAGAAAAACAAAATATTACAATATACGACTGAGAAGAATCGATAAAGAAAATATCACACATGTCAAAGAATCCCTACAAAAGCATAAGACTCAGCGGGAATAGACAGAAACAGATAGGCCAACGGATTTCAACGGGGATTATTATAAAACAAGTCATGTACAAGCAATCAATGGAGGTGAAGAGTGAACGATCAATTCATGGTTGTTTGCTCAAACCCAACTCCTCCATATTTTTCGCGGGAGTCATCGACCCAGCAATCATCGTCCCATCGTTCGTTGTTCAGTGTAATATGAAAAACTGTCCGAAGTATTCTCATGATTAATTGTTATAACATTTGTTCTTAGACCTTATGTATAATAGCCTTATTATTGGTTACATATTGGCGTAAGAATAAAGGATTCTTGAGTCGCCAATCAGTGTTCTGGTTTTCGCATCGGTTAATACAAAGTGCTTCTGAAAGTCTTCGGGGGATAGCGTGAGGTCCAGCGTAGTAAGAACTGGACATTGACAGTTCATGAGACTTGGCTGACAGTTTCTGATAGTTTTTGGATAGTTTCCGTTCGTCTTTCCTGGTGCCTGCAAGTCTACTTTGAACAAGCGTTTTCTGGAACTTTTCTGGAATTTTTCATCAAGTTCAATTATGCCTGGGTCAAAGAAGGGACGAAGCGTCTTGGAAGCAAGCAGGAAAGTAAATAATGCTGAGTTGCGTGTTAATTGTAGTGATATGTATGATGCTCAGCATGATGAGTCTGTTATCCATGTTTCGGAGTCTAGGGATAATAGGCCCAAATTTGAACCTCGGTGTTTCGATGGAAACCCAGCTGACTATTTACGGTTTGTAAAGGAGTTTGAAATCATGTTGAGTGGTTCTTTATTAAATGATGAAATGAAGTTGATATATTTGATGAGGTATTGCACTGGAGTTGCTTCAAGAGCTATACAGTGCTGTAAGTTCATGCCCTCTAACGAAGGATACTCTGAGGCTATGAGTATACTGCGTCAAAGATTCGGAAGACCTTCGATGATTGTAAGGAACGTATTCGAGGCTGTTAACGGTAATGGTAGTCAATTAGGAGATGACTCCAAGGAACTCTCTGAGTCTTTGGATAATATGACGACTTACAAGAATACGTTGACTTCGATGAATTGCATGAGTGATCTGAACTCAAGTTCCGTCCTAGAGGTGATAGCGAGACGCCTACCTACTCGACTGCAAAGGAGGTGGGTGAAGATAACCTCTCGTATAGAGGATGAAGGTATTGAGCCAAAGTTTGATGATATTCTGAAACTGGTAAAAGATAGTGTCAATCAAGTTATAAGCAAGTTTGCCAGTATGTCGCATCCCACCCCTAGAATAGAGCAGTCTGAGAGCAAAATGCAATCATTGATGACGAAAGCGTCTCAGAGAAGTGGATATCGAGAAATCTCTATGGTGCCTAGTAACCCAGATAAATTTAATGAGTGTAACAGCTTTCGTGGGACATCCCCAACAGATAGATTACCAGTTGCGAGACAAACACGGTTGTGTTTTACACGTTTGTAAGAGGTGCATAAAAAGGTGAACTGTGAATCAGTGAGCAAGTTTAATAGTAAGCTAAATGTGAAATCAGCGCCATCAAGGTTTGACCCCCAATAGTGTGACGACAATGGTGTAGTGAAGAAGCCTGTAGTGGCAACCAGTAAGCCATTGTTGAAAAGAGTGTCACAGACGACACCGCAGTTTATGCAGAAGAACAGAGTTACACTTTCAGAGTCCAGAGTAAAGGTATAAAACCTTTAAGGATTTGTGAGGCAGAACTTAAATTGTCTTCTGCTGTTATTTAAGAGTTTGAAAATGATGAAGTCGGCCAGATAGACGACGGTAGAGTGGATATTTGTGATAATGGTCATAATAGTGCAGATTTGTCTTTGGCTTATCATGATGAGACGAGCGGAATGCGTACTACTACTCAATTGAACAAATGTTCTGTACATTGTGAACGTGAAATAGACTTAAAGGCAGATGCGGTTTCAGAAGGTATGGATATTCATGAGACCGACAGTGTAAATGATCAGCGTGTAGCCCACCCATCAACAGATGTTAATGCTGAACTGGAGCTAACAATAAAAGACAGCAGGGGTGGTAATCTTGCAGTTTGACAACCTTCTAAAGGTCGAACAA